CTATAGATTGGGATAATTTTTTATGCACATCAGAGAATGAATTTAGCTTGACTATTCATTCAGTTAAACAGTGCTGTTAGGTAAAATAGCAAGCCTTGTTTCAGTCCTTCACTGAGAGGTAGAAAACATTGGTGCTTTAAGTGGAAGACTCACTGTATGTGTGAGTAGTTTATTAAATCTTTGCTGTAGGCTCTGTAGCTTCTATAGCCGTCTTGGTATAAAAGATGAAATTGGTCAGATTTTTTTTGACAAATAAACTTAAGGTTTTAATTAGAGTTAAACTAATTAGTTCTTGGTTATTCAGTACTGCTACAGGTCTTTTTCTTTAGGCACTTTGTGGCTATTCTGATTCTGCTTGTAAACAGCAATGCAATAGCAGGCAGATTCCAGTAGGGATAATTGACTCTTGTGTGAAGTTTCTTAATAGAACTTGGAAATAGTTAAAATTCATTTTCTATATTTAGAAACGTTAAAGGACAGAGCCACAGCAGGTACAAATTAACATATCTTATTTAATGTCACTGGAATTATAGAGATTTTGACCAGCGAAATATATGACCTCACATCTGAATGTTGAAAGACTGAGCAGTCACGGTAGGTTTTTGCATCAGAGAAGAGTATCATTTCCCTTCTACTACTTGTAACAAGTTGTGAAATCATGTTCCTGTGGATTAAGAAATATTTACCTTATTTCAAAGGGATATCCTTTGTGAGTTATTGCTCACTAATGAAATAAGACATACCCAATCTGTCCCTCAGCTTAGACTGAAAAATGGTTGCTGTTCTCTGTGACTTTAAATAACGTATAGTGTACCTTTACCAACATATGGTAGTGTATTTCCAAGAAATGCTACGTATGATTCTTCTGGGACTTACATTGGAGTGTCTCTGATTAGAGATGTCATGGAACAGCAGAGATCATCAAAAGTTGTAATGCTGACTTTATGTTAGCAGTTAACTAAAACACAATAGTTTTGAAATAGATAATCCACCCTTTATTTTGAATTTTGAACTAAAGAATTTAAGCCAAAGGGCTTGAAAGGATAATAATGTAAGACAGCTAAATACCATTAATATAATTATTTGTTAAATTTTACTGAAGTGATGATTATTTTTATGTAGGTATCAATCTTACTTCCATCGAAATGAAAGCAAAAAAGAAAAGAAATCATACTGAATCTATTAAAAAGAGGAATGGATTCCCAAACTGTAATGTGGACTTCCATGGTTTTGGACTGCTAAGAGAATAGTGTATCAGCACATCAACGAAACCTTTGACTAATGGGCTTTGCTGTGTCTTCTGGACAAGGTTCAGAAAAGAAGATGGAAAAAAATTGTTTTCCTAACACATCAATGATTTCTCAGCAGAGATATCCTCTGGGACTGACTGAACTAATCTTCTACTACTTCAACATATTTCCATTATAGAAATAATGCCTTTAGCATTAAGAGGTCTGTAAAACAGGCTATGCCAATGAAATAGAGCATCTTTTCATTAGTTCTTTGTGCCTTGATTGGTGAACCCAGTTCTACCTACAGTACGTACCTCTGCTCACAGAGGTTACACCTACTCCATGAATGATTAAATGTTGCCCAAATGGTATTGCAAAAAACTTATGGATGACGTGCACTAGAAAAGATCTGGATAATCCAGTCCTGAACATTTAGTTTATGTAATCTCTGTTTGTGCTAAAGTTACACCTCACCAATGAGCACTCAAAAGAGCTATATAAATGTCATAAATCAAGTAACAACTTCTTTAATGCAGAGTTAGGATTAGTATGTGTATTTTATAGTGAGGAAGATAAGAAACATGAGTTAAAAGTCTTTTTAGCCCCTGCCATGGTAAAAATCTCATTGGCAGAATGAGGTTCGTATGTAATTGTAGAGTGAGATACCAGTTCATAGATCTTTGCACGTTTTATCAAAAAAATTTTAAAAATATGACTCAATCTTCTGCTGTCATCTCCCCCACAGATATTCCTGTAGTCCAAATTAATGCACTTTCTGATCTAAATAAATAAATGCTTATTAGCATGTTGTGATTTCTACCCTCTATCTGCTTTGTGAAGATGTATTTCAAGTAATTTGACACATACAAAGAGCCCCCCTGAACGTTAGGCACAGTCATGGTTATATATATATGTAATTACAATCATAGCTACTTCATGCAGGCTTTGCTGGCAAACTGAGCAGGGATTGGACCACATGACCTCCAAAAGTGCCTTCTAACTTTAATTACTCTATGACTTGAAGTTTCAAGTTTGGGTTCCGACCCTCTTAAGCCATCTCTTTTCCAAATTGGGAAACTGGATTTACGTAGAGCAGTCTTGCACACATCTTGCAAAAGCATTAATGTCAGAAGTGGGAATACCTCAAACAGTGAGATTTTGTATCAGTGTCAGAAACATTAATTTTCAAAAAATTATAATGTAATCTGCAAATAGGTAAATACGTGTTTCTTTGCATACCTATATTACTAGATTTGAAAACTTCTAGCAGTTATAAAAATAAAAATAGATTTCAATATGCACTTGGGTATAATCTGGGCTTTATTGAATTTGTTCTGAACATTAAAAGCACTTGCAAAATTTAGGCCATATAATCAGAAGGACTGATCTGAAAGTCTTAAGGAGATGAAAAGGGCTTTGTCATTTTAAGTTTCGTTAGTATTAACGGCATTGCACAGCTAAAGCTCTGCTCATCTGGATAGAGATGCACCTCTGCTTGTTCTGGCTGGTATGCAGTTTTACACAGGCAGACATTTAGACAATTGGATACCCATGCTAATGTAGGATCCACACGGAATTCAGATAAAAGCTGGAATTCAGTGGCCTTTTTCCGTAGTTACATTGGCTCTCTCCTACATTGTTCCCTCTCGTCTCTCTCATACTAATCTCATAAAGCATTTGTTGTTTTTTGAGAACTGGAGTGCCAAAATTGCTTGAAATGGCAGATGAGCAAACAAATAGCTATTTCTTTCCTACAAATAATTACCAAGAGGAAATAGAAGTTTTCGTGACTGTGGGCTGCTGTTCAATAAGGTTATTGTAGATTTGAGACAAGTCCTAGACAAACATACTTTTTCATCTTCTAATCTTGCACTGTACACCAGACTCTACTAACTAGCTGTTTGACTTTTGAAGCTTTCTCATCACATTAATATTCAGGAACACATTGCCTTTGTGAAAGAAAGTGTTTGATTTACTTTTTCTTTTCCATTCAGAAAAAGTATTCTTTTCAGAGAATGGGTGTTTAATTGGTTATAAAACAGGAGTATGGCTTTTTAAACATAAAGTTAGTTTTTTTCATTCACTTTGCACAGACTGAAAACAGATAATCCAGTGTCTTCTGTTTGCAAAGACTTTATTTAGAAGGATTTCCTTTCCTCCAAGAGGGAGAACCTTGCTTCAGTTATGTTCCTTCGAATGACAATTAGATCTTTGAACTCCAGACAGCTGAACAAACAGATTTCCCCCACCAATTTAATTATCCTGGCCTGTTTCTCAGTACCACCAGAATACTATGGAGCACACTGCCAATTAAAACTCCACCTTTGATTGCCAATAAAACACTACAGGTTCAGGCCTGTGTAGCCAGAGGGAGGAGTTTGGGTTGCTTATTCTTGATCTGCGACGCTGAAGGTCCTAGATGCATATTGCTGGCGCAGGGTGAGTTAGGTGGTGCCTGGAGGCTGTGGTCAGTGGTACTCAGTACATGTAATGAAGGCACAGATTAACCTAGCTTCACTAGCAGCTTCCAAGCTCAATTGAATGCAATGCAAGACTAGCTCTCTCGTGCATGCTACGCATTCCTAGTTGCTACAGCCCTATGTGCAGTCTGAGGCTGCTTCAAATTTCACTGTACCTTCAGCACCTCCTGGGAAACAGTCTTATACATAGAGACATAGATGTGCTGTGGCTCTTTCCTGTCAGGCTGTGCCCACAGGGAAGAAAGAAACTAAAGCCTCTTTTGTAGTTAAGTTGTATTTGCGCAGTTGGCTTATAGTTCCCAAATGCCCAGCAAGGGGAAGCCTTCAGGTCATCTACTCTGTGTAGGTATAAGCAGGATGCAGCACTGTTGGGAGGAGTGGGCAAGACCTCAGCTGAGCGAATGGCTCTGTAAGGCTCTGGGACTAGTCATCCCTTCACTATGGCACCCATGACCATGGTCAGCTGTGTCTGCCAGCATGAGTTCCAGCCCCCATGAGAATCTGCTTCTCTGTGCTCTTTCCCACTTCTGTACAGATTCTGGCTGAAACAGGAAAATAGTTAAATTTTCTGCTTTTGACCCATTCATATCCAAACTCCACCCACTGGCTTAAGACATTTGTAGTATCATTAAGATTTGTCATACCCAGCAGCATTCAAAGTGTCACTGAAGCAGGTCAGGAAAGAAGGGCACTGGCATATTATGCAAAAAACTTACAGTTGCCTAGCACCATTCAGCTGATTACCACTGACATTCTGAAATGAAAATATCTGACGATATCATATTCTAAAGTAGTTTCTATGTTCTCCTCTAGAACTGGAAGCACAGATTTTAAGAAAACAGAACATCCATTAAGGCTAGTCTATACACTTCTGATTCCTAACTTGCCTTTTTTACTGTGCGAAGCAGGTTGAATTATACTAGATCTGCTGTCATATTGCTCAGTAGCAGAAAAAAAACTATAGACAGACATTATATTCTCTCTGGGTTCTGGTTAGCAAAAGTGAAAATGAAAACCATTGGCAAAAATTTGTACTGAACTTTCCAAATGCACAATAAGCTCAAAGTTCATCAGAGTGGAGAAAAGCTGTGTGACAGTTTGTTTGAATGAATCTAATTATTGGTCTTGTCAGTAATGTGTTGCATCAAATCGTTCTCTCAAAGAGAAGTAATGCAACAACACTGTGTACATACTAAGTGATATTTTGGTGGAGACTTGCATAAGCTAAGTGGCAATTAGATTTGTTTCATAACAGGTCCCACCTGAGTCAGTGAGAGAAAAAATAGGCATGCCAAAGGTGATAAGCATTGATGTTCTTTCTAATAGACAGAATATGATCTCAACTGTACTAAAAGGAAATGTTGCTGAAGTGAACTGTAACCTCAACTGTTATGTGGCATCTTTACTGTGAGTCTCCTTTTATAAAGCAGGCAATTTTTCAATGTTTTGTACAGTACTATTAAAACCTGAATTATGTATGTATTGTCTCTGAAGAGGTTGCCTACAAATTCATATTTTTCAAGGCTTTCCATTTCTTCATTTTTATTTCTTTAACAGTTCCACCCAAAAGGGAGATGATGACTATGAAGATTACACTTCAAATAAGACTTGGGTTTTGACTCCCAAAGTCCATGAGAGTGATGTCACTCTTATTTTAAATGGCTTGCTGGAAGGATATGACAACAAATTGAGACCTGACATAGGAGGTATGTTGGTTTTCTTCTTAGACCACTTTTGTTTAAGCAGTGAAGAGAAAGACTTTTCATACCATATTATGCTACACAGGAAGCAGAATCCATTCAAAGTAGTTATGAAAACAAAATACAATGTAGTAAAACATTAGTGGCACGAAAAATACTCACAAATTTGGAAGCTGACATAAATTAAGATTGCCAAATCTATTCTGAGACATCTAATAAGACTGTTGTGATTTGCTGAATCAGGCTGCTTGTAATGATGCACCTGCATAGGAAGTTCGGAATTTAACTTTTGGGGAATGAAAAAGCAAGTTTTTATCTTCTTTGTATATCTAAGTGAGGGTGTTAGAGAATCACAAGTAATATATTGGAAACAAGGCCAAAATGAGGATAATGCAGCCTGATCCTTGCATGATGTGACGGACACAAACAGAGCCTCTAACAGCAGCAGGTTTGCATTGACTGATGCAGCATGGGTCCTCACTTGCACAGCAGGGCAAGAAGTGACTGGGGAATGGGGCGCAGAGGGAGAGGTTCACAAAAGATAACTGCAGTCAAGTAAGGCCAACTCCCTAGATTTCCCCCACAGCCAGTATAAGTATATAGACCCAAGCTTGGACTCATAATGGAAGTCTTATTTGACTGAATCACCTTTTGCAGCAACCATCTTCTCCACTGATTACTGAGAGAACTCAAAGAGATAAATCTCCTGAGTTTCTGCAAGTCAGTTTGAGAAGGCCCCATGTGTGCACAGAACAGGCACAGCAGAAGAGGATACAGCAGAAATAAGAATATAGAAAAACGCAGAGAATTCATGGATGAGGCAGGCAGAGGAAAGCAGAGATCAGCAAGGTTACTGAAGGAAGCTGTTTCTAGCAAGCTTATAGAGGCCTATAAACTAAGGAATTTTTCACAGTGAGGGATAACATGAGTATTTAACCTTCAATGTATGTATATAGTGTAAATTAGCAGAGGAATTTGTCTTATTCTCCCAATCCAAGACTTTAGGCACAGAAAGGAATTAAGCATTCATAAAAGCACCTGCAAAAAAACAATCATGTTTTAGTCAAGGTGTATAAGAATAATAAAGCTACAAGAGTAATTTCAAAATAAATTAATCTAACAATTTCCTGCTTTAGAGCCTTGAGTATTATTTTTGCTTTGGGCTCGTGAAATTATTACTTACCTACAGCCATCTCTGCAGGCAACAGCAGTCATGTGGCAGTTGCCATTATAATGTAAAACGAGTGATGCAAGTCATCATAAGAAGAATAAGTTTGCTTTTTAATAGTGTTTTGTCAGATGCGTTGCTGTGACCTGACACAAAATATACATACTCTCAGTCAGATATGACTCACTCTAAGGTAACGACACTGGTTTCAGTATTTGTTCGCATAGCATAACTGAATTTGTTCTGATAGAATAAATGATATAAGAATTTGTCTCCAACTAATTTCAAACTGGAGACATCACTGCAAATTTGTATTTATTGCATATGCACATTTAAATGTGAGGCAACCATAGCCATGCAAGACAGGTACTAGAATAATCTTTTACTTGTGTTTGACTTTCATGTAGTTGATTTTGACCTTCACTAATGTTACTGATTCTTGTTGTTTCTCTTACAGTTAAACCGACAGTAATTCACACTGACATGTACGTAAATAGCATTGGGCCTGTGAATGCTATCAATATGGTAGGTAAATGATTGCCAATTTTCCTACAATGTTCACTTTGTTACAAAGCCTCCATCATTTTTGACATGACAAAGCTTCCATTAGTTTTAATGTTGTGCTATACCTATATTATTTTTAAAATCTCATTATTGTTATGGATGTGAGGACTATATGAGCTATGAATCTCTACAAGACAGGCAAACTGAGCTCTATGCTGAAAAAAATGTAATAATAATAGTTTTAACATATCCTCACACTTTTATGTGCTCTACTTTCAAGTGCTTTGTGACAGTTTAACTCCTGTAAAACTGAGCTTCCAGATTGCTACAAAATAAGGAAAACCATTCCCCAGTAATATCACTCTTGCCACCAAGAGATAAAACGAAAAAAGCCTAGATCCTCTCTCCTCTCCTCCTTCCAAAGTTCCTACAGCAAAATTTAATTATATCTTCGTACAGGTGAAGGAAAATGGTCTAGCCTTAGCACAATATCTACTTCATTCTTGTAGTTTTCCTGTGGAGAAAGAAATCTCAGATTGCTCTTTTCCATTCTATAATTCCCTTTGCAGATTCTGGCTGCCCAGTGGTGCCAGGGAAGGTGAGACTTCGCCACTTCTGATATTAACTGAGGAGCACAGGCAATTAAGGCAGCCGAGTCAGCTCGAATTTTTCCTGTCCTAGATCCAAAGGAATAAATAATTGTTCGCTGATCTGATCAGGCGTGGGTTGAGGTGTGGGGACACAGAATTAGAAAGGTGCATATACCACTTAATTGCATCTTAGTTTCACCTGTCAGTGGGAAAATAACAGAATAAATTTTTTTTAAACAATAAACTTTGGTAAACCATGCCCTCAAAAATTGACAAAAAATTGTTTTTATCAATTCTAGTACCATCTTCTGTAGTTCACATTTTTTTCACATGAAATTAAGGAAAGCATATCAGGAGTTATGTGAAATGCTGAGTGCTATGTTTTCATCAGTATTTCTGGTTAACACAACAGGAATATACAATTGATATATTTTTCGCCCAAACGTGGTATGACAGACGTCTAAAGTTCAACAGCACTATAAAAGTGCTCAGATTAAACAGCAACATGGTTGGGAAGATCTGGATACCAGATACATTTTTCCGAAATTCCAAGAAAGCTGATGCTCATTGGATAACAACTCCTAATAGGATGCTCAGGATCTGGAATGACGGCAGAGTGTTGTACACATTGAGGTATTTATACCTGACTTTAATTTCAGTTCTTCTAGGGAAAGCCAAAGAGAAAGGTCCTGTGAATTCAGGTCATTTGACATTAACCTGAAGGAAAAAACAGTGTTTTTCTTATTTACTTATGCATACAGCCCTGAAAAAGAGAAATATTTAGAAGATACTACTTGCATGCAATTTATTTTATATTGGCACAGTAAAGAGTTTTATTTCTTCCTATAGATTGTACTGTCTTGCTCCACAATAGTCACATTCCTATACTAAAATGAATATAAGCATAGTCACAGTAATTCATCTTCATTTTCAGGTATTTTTTATTGTTTGCCACTGGTTTGGTCCATATTGCCTTTTGCCTTTTTATTGGGTTAAAATGACGAATTCGAAATATCCTTGAATTAAGTAGATGGTATAAAAGGAGGAATTATATACATCAAAGACCTCTTATTCTGAATTGATTACAGTTTAGCTAGATGAAGCTCCACCCTGCAAAAGCATTTCATTCCTCAGTCTTATGAAAATAAAGATTACCATTTCAGCATTGGTCATTTAATGTTTAATCCAAAACCTACAGATATACCTTGTTCCACTAAAATTTTCATGAATCTGAACTTGATATGCTCATCTCCAGATTTCTTAGGCATGTGTATAGCTCTTCTTTTGGCACAGATAACTTTTAAAAACTACCTTTTCAATAATTATGTATATGCCTACATTTAAATGTAACATATGCAATACGTAACAACTCAAATATCATATTCCTAATGACCATAAGATACTTCCTAAATGTGAAAATCCTAAATGCATATTTTTTTACTTTTTCTTACATGTGATATAACATTTGGTTCTATGTAAAATGTAAATAAAGACAGCACCTCTTCAAGAGAATTTATAATTTAAAATGAGAGTACAGAATCAAAGATGTTAGACATAAGACCATCTGAGTTTTAGACTGCATTTTTTCAAACTGTTTTTTCCGCTTTTGTTTTATTGGGTGCCAGAAATAAAGTTTTGAAGAAAAGTACGCTCATTATAATTTTAATGAATAGCTCTGAAGCTTTGGTTAAGACAACCTTTTAATGTTGCAACTGTCTGAACTACAAAAAGGAGTTTCATTTCATAGTTATTTTACATTCATTACATATTGCATCGCCAGAAGAAATAAGAGAATGATCGGAATTGAAATCCAATGCAAATCAAAGTCAGTCTGATAAAGAAGATCCTAAGTCCACTTTTGAAATGTTAAATTTGGACTTAGCTACACTATTGTCTCTTTGGACTTCATTACCTTTCTCTTCAAATACCTTAGTTCCTCTCATTAGAAAGAGATACATCTGATAGAACTTAGAAACAGTTATCTGTTATTAACGTATTAGTTGTTTTAGCGAGTCACAGCAAGCACCAGTAAGGATTCAACCTGGATTAATCCAGAAGTGAAATGTGATAGTATCATCACAGATCTGGGATTCTGTCCTGAAGAGAATAGCGCTCTGGAAGAGCTGGTTGATTTTCTCAGTCACCTCCCCCCACGCTCAAGAAGAGTCCATCCTGACCAGCAGGAAATCAAGAAAAGTTAGCAGGCAGTCTGCAAGGATCAACACAAAGCTCCTGACAAAACTCAAACGTGAAAAAAAAATGTACTAGGTGTGGAAGCAGGGACAAGTGACCCAGGAGGAATACAGCGATGCTGTCTGAGCACTCAGGAACGTTAGAAAAGCCAAAGTTCATCTGGAGTCGAATCTGACTAGACACATGAAAGCAAGAAGGGTTTCTACACATATATCCTCAGCAAAAGGAAGACTAGGGAAAATATGGGCCCACTGCTGAACAGGAATGGGGACCTTGTCACAAAGGACACTGAAAAGGCCAAGGTACACAACGCCTTCTTTGCCTCAGTCTTTACTGGTAAAACCCTTCCTTCAGCAATCCAGGTCCCTGAGACCGGTAGGAAAGTGGAGCAAGGAAGACTTACCTTTGGTGGAGGAGGATCAGGTATGGGCTAAATAAGGGGACATTGGGGTAGATTGAATATGCCTGAACTGCCAGGCTCAAAGGCCTGGGATCAGTGGCATGAGGGCCGACTGGAAAGCACTCACTAGTGGTGTACTCCCCAGTTTTGTACTAGGCCAATACAGTTTGACATCTTCATTAATGACCTGGACAAGGGGACAGAGTGCACGCTCAGCATGTCTGCAGATAATACAAAACTGGGAGGAGTGATTGGTATATCATAAGGTTGTGCTATCACTCAGAGGGACTGCAACATGCTGGAGAAATGGGCCGACAAAAATCTCATAGAGTTCAACACAGGAAAATGTCATCCTGAACTAGGGGAGGAATAGCCCCACACAGCAGTACAGGGTGGGGGCCGACCAGCTGAAAAGCACCTTGCAGAAAAAGACCTGAGGATCCTGATGGACGTTCACCATGAGCTAGCAAAGAGCTCTTGAAGCAAAGGCAAACAGCATCCCGGACTGCATTAGGAGGACTGTTGCCAGCAGGTCGATGGAGATGATCCTTCTCCTCTGCCCAGCACTAGTGAGACACATCTGAAGTGCTGTGTCCAGTGCTAGGCTCCCCAATACAAGAGGGATATGAGCTCACTGGAGTAAGTGCAGTGAAGGCTAACTAAGATGCTGAAGGGCTGGCAGTATCTGATGTGCAAGGAGAGGCTGAGGGAGCTGGGATTGTTCAGCCTAGAGAAGGGAAGGCTCGGGGGATCTTATCAATGTGTGTAATGTGGGTGGGGGTAAAGAAGGCAGGGGATGAAAGGGGTAAAGAAGGCAGAGACATAATCTCAGTGGTATCCAGTGATAGGAGAAGATGCAATGGGCACAAACTGAAGTACAGGAAATTCTGTTTAAACATAGGAATAAACTTTTTTACTGTGAGAATGGTCAAACAGTGGAACAGATTGCCCAGAAAACTCCATGCTTGGAAGTGTTTGAAGACTGGATTGTGTTGTGTGCTGGGGAATGAAATCTACTCAATTCCACAAGAGAAAACAAATAAAAACAGCAGTAAATCTGAGCCTATCCCAAATTCAAACAGTGTTAAATATATTCACCAGAGAAAAGGCAATATTGAAGAAAGAACTTAATAAATTTTTTGATCCATATTATGATTATCTTGAAATGAAACTGAAGGTGATGGAAATGAGAAGAGAAAGAAAGGACAATAATATTAGCACACAGAATCAGGTCTCTTGCTGTGGCACAAACAGAACCTCCCTTAGTTTCAAAGGAAATTAGATTTGTTCCTAAATCCCTAATGCAGAAAAGTTTCCTTCAGATTTCATTAACTTGGTGGGTAGTGATCACAGCATCCCACAGTATGAGGCTCAGGGAGAATTTGCACGCTGCACCTACATGCAGGAGCCAGGAGACAAACCCACCTCACAGGGTTGCTCATTTGGACACCCAGGAATCAGCAAAGACCAGAAACCTGCAGTTTTCCTAGAGACTCATGGCACAACTAAACATCACTCTGCTCTTTTTTTTTTTTGTCTCCTTTTTCTTTTTCCCTCTCTCACCCCACCTCCTTCCTCCTTTCCAAAGTCCAAGTATCATGCAGTTCATGGCAGGGCTGGGGCTGTGTATAGGCTAGCAAAAATTAAGGGACTGAATGAAAAATGGTAGAGTTTTTAGAAGGCACATCAGGGGATATATCTCGTCTTATTTTGGATTTCTAAAAGTACATGTCTCTACCTGATGTATAGCACCTACACCAGCTGAGTTATCATGGAGACTCTCCTGATATTCAGTGGAGAGAAACATATTTCGGTACATTCTTCTTCTGATTTAATTTAAATGTCTTAATCTGGAATGAAATGAAGTATACCCTCAGAGTGCCTTTCCACTAGCTATGAAGGTAGTCTAGATGGCTGTCTTGGATGCAAATGTCTAAATTTGGACTCTCATCCATCATTTCTGAAATAGAATTTTTGTCACGTAAAATACATTTCCCTAGTGCATTATGGCATGTTGTGACACAGAGATTTGTCACTGCTCATGAGATGACCTGTATATCTACTTATGGATTTGCCTGTTATGAGTAACGCTGCCATTTCAGATGCATAGGAACAGAACTTTAATACCTTATTCTATTACACAGTCCAGAAAGTAGATGATCAGGGCCTACGCAACCAAAAAAGAAACACTGCATATCTGTAACCATGATGTGTTCCTATGCTTGGAATATCCAAATTAATACATACATATCAATAGTTTACTTTTGCTTTCTCTATATATATTTAAAATATATTTGCATATTTCATAATCAGGTTCCATATTAATAAGAATCTTGTTTTGCTTGCCATGATGTAGCTTTCAGGACAAACTTCTCAAGTGCATTCTGTATATCCTGATCTCTTTCTCCTCAGGCTGACAATTGATGCTGAGTGTCAGCTACAGTTACACAACTTCCCAATGGATGCCCATTCCTGCCCCCTGGAATTTTCAAGCTGTAAGTAACATGCTTAGAAATATCCCTTTTCTGACCAACACTGAACCACTTACATACTTAGAGTCAGCACGGGTTATGTTCTTGACTAGACATAGTCCAAGGTTTTCAGTTTTATTTTGATCTTATTTTCAAGTACATGAATCATATATGTTCACAAATATAATTGAGGAATGCTATACAAAAAAATGATAACAATTTCTGGGACCTATGTGATTAATTTATGCTTATATCTTAGCATAATAGTTGAAATTTTTACTTTCAGCATCAAAGTCTCAGGGCCTGATACTTTCTCTCTGTGCATAGGAGTTTTACTATTGCAATAGTTGGAGTCAAGAGTTTGACATTTTGCAGTGAGGTCAAGGTGTGAATTCCTGGTCCAGCTGCAGACTTTTTGGCCATAATTGAAGGATGGGCAAAATTGCATCCTACTGGGTCCACAAAAGTGGAAAAATCTATCTCAAGTGCTATTTTAATTTATAATAAATAAAATAAAATGTGACATTAAGTAAAAGGCATTACTAAGTAACTTGAGAAAAACATATCTATAATTTACTTGCAATATGCTTCTCCAGTTTTTTCCAGAAATAGAAAATAGTATTTTTACTCCCCAAAGTACACTAAAATCCTAGCAATGACTATGAAACAAAGCATTCTGTATTTTCCATTGCAATAAGATGGCTACCCAAGAGAAGAGATCATTTACCAATGGAAGCGCAGCTCAGTGGAGGTGGGGGACACCAGGTCCTGGAGGCTTTACCAGTTCTCCTTTACAGGATTAAGAAATACAACTGAGGTGGTGAAGACTACTTCAGGTAAGGCAACTGATCTGTTTACCTTCAAATTAATTTAGGATTTTATTAACAGAAAGAAAAAAAGAAAGATATTTCTGTTTAGAACTTAGCACTGGCACGTCACTGAACAATTACAGGCTTTTAAATACCTATGGAACATTCAGGCTTTAGTATTTCTGAAGAACTCCTCACAGGAAGAAAAAAAAAGTTGTTGTCTACTGTCCATTCCTGTCCTCCAAGAAATACATAGAACTGTCAGGAGAAAGCCACTACTACAAGGGGCGGGCAGTCAAGGGAACTTCCTATCCTGCTTCAGTGTAGAAAACAGCACAACTGAGCCACTAAATGATAATCTGATACTGATTTGAATATTTTACAATCCTCTTCCAACTTCTAGAAACAGAAAGTAGGCCTGCACAGAAATGAAATTCAAAGTCCCAACCTCTTTACTACGGCAGCTCCAAGTTTATTTTGTTCCGTAAAACAGGGCACATTCAATTCTCATTAAAGAGAACAGCCTTACAAATCAATGTCTCAGATGATTTTCCTGCATATTTCTATCTCCTTGGAAACAAGTAATGGAATTTAAAATTATAAATGAGGAAGTACTCACCGTTTAATAAAAATAGCAATTTTAACCCTACTAACTAAGCAGGAAAATACATTCTTCTGGACATATATATTGTTTTATTTCTCAGTGGAAACAAAATCAGTGAATATGAGAAAGGATGTAAAGAGGAATTGCATATTAATATTCTTGTATGTGCATGATTTCCCTTGTCTTTGATTTCTTATTTTCAAAAACAACAGTGAAGTGAAAGTAGTTTTTCTTTTCAGGTTGCTTTTGATTTTTACCTTATTTTATTGTTCGGGCAAATATATTGATTTAAATTCAGACATCTGTGTTAATTCTGTCTTCAGAAATATCCCCATCCATTATATTTCTAAAAGGTCAGCATTGCTGTTATATTCAAAAGGACAGTGAGATATGCTAGAGTTTAGAGGAGCCCGCTGTGCATTACACTGGAGTGCAAACAAAGAGGTTGAGAATTAATTCAAGTTCCAACTCCTGAATTACTGGACATTAAGCACCAATGACATGTTTAGTCTTATGAGCAAGGCAAAAATGGAATGAAGCCTCCCAGCTGTAGCCACATTTGCCTTATGGCATCTTCTGCCATTTTAGCTGAGGAAGATATTTAGTCAGCTATTCAAGAAAGCATTTGACCTTTCTCATTTTCCCAGGAAAATAAAAATAAAGGTGCAAAAGAAGACAAGAGTGCAGTGTGTGTGCGAGCCATACTGCTAATAACCACCATTATACATGACTTGGTGGAACTGCTCTCGAAGCAAGAATATAAACAGCAATACATCTCACCTCAGACTGCCCCTGCAACAGGCAAAGCACAAAAGGCAGCAGTGTCCCCAGGTGTGGTCTAAGGTCTCATCCTGCCCACGTTGAAAACTAACTTTACTTCAGCCTCAATTCGAGTTTCTTTTATTTGCTCTTTTTCTTTCCTTTTCTGCTTGAGCCATTCTCTAATAAACTTTTCTTTGGCCAGAGATAGAAAGTAATAAAATCTTAACATGCTACAAGCTTCAGATCCACTGATTCAGCGCATCTTGCACTGGTGAATCAAAAGCACTCTCTAATGTTCTGCTAATGTGAAGAAAGTGCATACTGAGAAACGAACAGTAAAACACAGAAAGCAAAAAATACTTTCCCATGCAAAGAAAACCTTTTCTTTTTTCAGGGGATAGCCATTCAAGCTTGTAGTACTCACCTGGAGTACTACCATAATGTTGCATCAGTAGTTTTTAATATGATAACACACACCAGCCCTTTTAATTTGCTTTAAAAAAAAGTAATTAGCAGCTAGCATGCACTTTAAAGCAGCAAAGAGTCACTCTAGTCATCACTGGATTCCTAAGAAGAAATGCTTGTGATAGCTACTCAGCCTGCTAAGCTGCTTTCAAAGACCTGCTGAGTATAAAAACTTGGAAAAACATCCTGTGTATATATTTCTTCTGCTGCAGTTACGTTTGGTTTTCCTTGCTCCTCTTGTTTTTTATGACCACAGATATGCAAGAAAATTAGATTTTATTTTGGACTAGGTGCAGTCTCTAAATAATTAGAAGGTGGAAAAAAAAACACCAACAAAATAAGTACTGTCATGAATCTGGTCTATCTCCTACAAATATTTTGCTAAAGCTGGCAGAGCCTAAAAAGTGTTCATTGCTTACTTAAGTGCCTTATTAGCATGCTGGGAACTACATTAAGTCCAATATTCCTCAGCTAGACCCATACTCTACCTATAATTACTCTCTTACATGCACACATTTTCAATAGAGTTTCCCCAAAAGAAAAGAAAAATATTCCAAGCTTACAGATTTATTAGCAACCTATGTGCAGCCTGAGTACACAAGTTAAATGTTTGAATGCCCATATAGCCAAAATAAGTCTTGAGACTTTATGGAACTAATTGCAGTGCTGCACATAATAGAATTTAGGTACAAACTAATAACAGTACCACTGCCAGTACTTCAGTGGGGATATGAGCTGAGGTACAGTGGAGGAGACAATGGAATGATTAAGGACTATACTATACTTCCAAGAACTCTTCCCCAAAACTGCATTTAGATGACAACAGAAACGAGACAAACTTGAACACAAGAAGGGGGAATTAGAGAATACAAGATTGAACAGTTACAGAACAGAAGGAGCCTGGGAGTAGTGTTAAAGCATTTGAAACTGGAGTAAACTTCCCATATCTGCATTTACTCCATTTCAAAACAAACTGTTGTTTCTAGCTTCATGCCTCCCAGTGACTAACACATTCTAGTCCTTGAGGGCTATGCTTGCTTGGTGACTGGAGCAGAGAAGAGAAACAGAAAGGATGGCTGAGACTTGGTCATTACAAACTCCATTACCTCTTTTTTTGTCATGCCATAGCTGAACATTTGAGATCTGGGGTGAGTTATGGGCAGAGAAGGACAAGGATTGTTTGAATGTAACCTTCATAAGATCTGACAGACTTGCTGAAGTGACTACATTTATCTGCTGCTCTTCCTTTGGATGCACTGCAGAAATTTAAGATTAACTGAAAGGGCCAGATGTTGGAATTCTGTCCCTGATCAGTTAGCAAATCCTGATAACAGCAGAAAAAAGCAACTGGAATATTACAAACTATCCTGTCTGTTTCTTTTATCTGAAGGGAGTCATCCTGAATTGTCGGCTTGTTTCTCTCCAAACTGAACATTCACATGTGACTCTAATTTTCTTCAAAAGTCACAGACCAAGCAATAAGAAATGACTTAGCTAATGGAATCCACTGTCCGTTAAGAGAGGGGACTGTTAAGAAAAGTTAACTCTCAACCTTCTGCCCTATGAACATTTCATAAAAATGACTAAATAATCTGTACATTTAATAATATATTACCTGTATATATTTTTTGCTTTTTCACTACAATTTATGCTGTGTAAACAGCAGTGGTTTAGTTCAGATTATTTGCAATAAAGTGCATGTTAAGACAGAATATCATCTGAGTTATACAAACTACGATAGTTGACCTCACACACTTATAAACTGAGATGGGTTTAAGATTTATTGTATTATTGAAGTACGTCCATAATCACTGCTCAAACAGTGCATATCTTGGTCATTTATTAAGAAACTACCTTTTCTCTTGTGTGACCTTTTTGCTCACAGTGTAAGGCCCCATCCACTGAATGGTAGTGAGATTCTCCAATAAAAAAAGATATGAACTAATGGAAAAGTCTAGAGAATAAAAATTCACGAACTTCTGAAATTTGGATGAATGCTGCCATAAGTAGTCCTTACAAAGAAAGCATCAGGTTTACAAAATTCTACTTCAAACCTAATGCTGAGGTTGCATAGTAAAGCCAGTTGCTTTACTGACATGTTCAGAGTTCATGTTATGTTACAACATCTTTAGTTATTTAAAGGTGTGTGATTTATTAGATTTTACATTGTCACCATACATGGGACAAATGTAAAACTAACTGGCAAATGTGGCAGAAAGTGGACACTTAGCATAAAAAGAGAGAGTGTTGTATCGTACAATAAGAAGCAATAATAAAGAAAAGAAAACCAAAAATGACTGCTTTAGCACAGGACGTACCCTTCCATCCTCCATATTCTCATTTAGTATTGCACAATACATTTAATTCAAATGAATGTCTGTTCTTTTTTGCTTTAAAAACTATTCTATATCTAATTTCTGACCTTTTATATTCTCTGTGGATTAAAAATAAGAAACAAATTAGGTGAGAAAATAGTCCAGCAAGTCCACCACTTGTGAATCATATTAGCAAATGCTGCTGTTCTTCACTTTTTTCCAAAATGAAAATATTATAGAGCTTAGCTAGAATCACATTATAGAACAAAAAGTGTCTATTGCTTAGGAGGCACTGCAAGGAAGTTTTTCTAGAGAGTTCTCTCAACTCAGATTTGACTAGCGAAAAAGATAATCTTTAATTTTTCTGATTGTTACTGCAATGCAACAAGCGATACAAAAGTACAGTACTTGCAAAATATAATGCACAAGTGGATGACACTGATCATGGACATGTTCCATTTTGGGAGCAGGAAAATAGGAAAATTCCAAAATTTGTAATTAGGTACTTTAAATGAAGAGTGAAAGATTGTAGGAAGGAAATAATCAAATGTACAAATATAAAAAGATCCATAGTTGTGTAAAAAAATTCTGGGGGCTGTAGTAGCCCACAAACACACAAGGATAGAGAATGTGATACTGTTGCAAAAAAACACCTTTTCTGGGATGCATCATTCAGAGTGTTGTGTTTAAACTTGGGAAAAATATTCACTGTTCTACTCTGTGAAAACTGATGTCAAATGGTTGCTGCATTCTGCTCGATTAAAAAAAAAAGTTCACTTTTAAGTGCAAAATTTTAAGAAAGACAGGGAAGTGCAGGAGAGTGTAATAAGTATAGGGTTTAGAAAACATGACCTATGGAAATATTTGGAAGTATGGAACTAGTCTGGAAGAAAATATAATTGGTGATCAAAGGAGTAAAAGAAACGTACTGTTTTTAAACCATAACAGTAATCAGCAGTAGCACATACTATTTAGGGAGATTGTAGAAACCCTAAAATCAGAGGGTTTATGAAATCATACTTCAGACTAGGAGGAAAGGACTAGCTTATATCTTGAAATTCTTTCCATCAATAAGTTTCTATGAATTTCATAAAATTACTGGACAACCTGCATTTCTACTCACTATTCCAGTGGTTTTGAACGTACAAAATACTGTACTACGTAAAACAGTTTGTGAATGTGTAATTATTCAAGACAGATGGAGCTTCTGGTATTCCCAGTTCATTTCTGTGAATGGGTAGTTCCTTTTTTAGACCAGACATTGTCTATTGCTTATTCACAGAGCCGGTCTGGAATTTTTAATTAGATACAAAGGCATTATAAGACTAATCAATAAATAGCAATTCAACAAGCTGCACAGGATCCATGAGACTGGTGAGCCAATATCTGTAAATTCCTTTTTATTTTCTTCCTGTTCTGTGTTTTACAGAGCTAATCGGAGCCATCCAGTAGAGACAGTGTATTGCTCATAATTGTTAAACAGTGACAAATTGGTAATTAAATATTTATCTTGCTATGCATCTATTAAGCCACATAAATAGTTCTGGTTCTGGTTTCTGTTTTATCACGAAAATGTGGTCAAGGCTATTATTTTGTGGAAGAGGACGAATTTGCAGACT